CCGTCGCCACGGGCCGCCGCGGCGAAGCCGCCGGGAGGCGGCCAGCACCGCGGGGTGCCGAGGATGCGCCCCCTTTTCGAACCAGGATACTCCAGATGTCGTAATAAAAGGGAGGGGGTCTGGACCCTCCAAGACAAGCCATTTCAGACCTCCCCCGTGGGAAAACCCTCCAAAACATCGTCCCCAGATCCCCCCAGGCCCTCCAAGATAGCCTGGAAGAGACCCCCCCCGAAATGAGACCCCCCCTCCCTTTATTACGAAATCTGGAGTATCCGTCCCTTTTCTCCTCATCCCTTTTCTCCTCATGCCTCTATTCCTCTTTCATGCTCACCCCTTCCTCCTCCAGTTCTCACACCTGCCCAGCTCGGTCGCACCAGTCGGAACCGAGCTGAGAGCAAGGAGCGGCGCGTACGCTTCACGGGCCCTTTGTCTTTTGCTTCCAGCCTCTGATCCGAAGGGGCTTAAGCAATCCCCTCCTCGCGGGCCCCACGCGGCTTGCGAGTGAGCAGAGAGAGCGCGTCTTTGCCGCCGTGCTCGCACTGTTCGAAGGTCGGTGGTCGTCACTGCGGGGCAGCTCTGCATCACCGGCAGCGGGCTCCCAGGCCCAAGACGTCACCGCCTGCTGGCCGGGCTGCTGGTCGACAGCACAGTGTTGACGCGGCGAACTTGAGCCCAGCCGATGGCCCCCACTTGCCAGTGTTCTCTTTGCATCAGTTTCGGCTCATTGCGCGGAAGAGCGATCTTTCCACGGAGTGATGTGGTGATTGGTTGGCACGCTTGGATTGCGAGGATCGGTTCTCCCCCGCGGCCCCCTAACGCCGGTCACCAAAAGTCACTCTTGCCTAGGGTCACTATTGTGTGCAGCCGATTGACGCAAGCTTTCAAATCGCGAGCGACCTTTCCCAGATATCCCATGTCGTGCGCTCAATCATTACGGGGTCCCTTGATTTCCCAACCCTCTTCCCATGGCTGGCCTTTCATCCTGAGTCGTTTTCTTTCCAGCCCCCAAGCTCAGACACGGCCCCAAGATGCCTACAGCGGCCATCGCAATTCTTAACGCTTTGCGCATCCCCACCAGCTTACCCAGATACGATGTTCAGAGGAGCTCCCCTAAAACGGGGGGCGTGTCATCATTTGGAGATATCGGGGGCCTGTGTGGGCCAGCCCCCCCCCTGGATGCTTCCAGGGGTCTCCCAGGGTGTCTGACGAGTGCATCTTAGAAGTATTTTGGGGCGTCTTGAAGTTGCTAGCTCGTGAGGGGCATCTTGGAGCGTCCGGGTGCTCTTGAAGCTCTCTTGAAACCATTTTGGAAGCGTTTGGGGCTGACTTGGGGGCTTCTAGTGGCCCTCTTGGGGGCCTCGGATACCTTCTTGGGACCATCTTGGAGGACGTCGATCAAAGAAGACGGGTTCCTCACTTAACGTTGCTCCTCTAGAGTTCGAAAGTCGCCTCGTGGGGCGCCCTTGGGCGCTCTTGGGGGCGTCTTGAAGTCCTCTTGGGTCTCTCTTGGGGCCCGCTTGGGCCATCTGGGAGCGCCATCTTGAGGCTTTGGAAGCCCATTGGGAGCTAAAGCGTCAGAAGGCTAGCGTCATGTATATCTTATGGTATTTTTGTATTTGGGGCTCTTGGGGGTCTCCTTGGAAGGCTCCGTAGTCACTTGGACCCGTCTTTGGAGCCATGTTGGTATTGGGGCACCTTGCAGGCACCATCGGGCCATCTTGGATGTCTCGAGCCATGTTGGAGGCCATCTTGAGCGTTCTGGGGCCATCTTGGACGCTCTGACCGCTCGGGACCTTGCCCCTCAAGACCAAGGGAGGGGGGGTAAGGGGTGGGGTAAGTCAGCGCTCCATATTTCTATACACCCCCTCCCCCACCCGACCGGCGACAAACCGAGAACACAAAGAGAACATCCCTTGCCACCCCTTTCGAAAAACAATGCAAAGTGCACTTTGCGGCAAAATCTTGGATCATGTTCGGGACGGCCCGCAAGCGCATTGTATTATTATTGTTGTTGTTGTTGTTGTTGTTGTTGTTGTTGCTGTTGTTGTTGTTGATGTTGGTGGTGGTGGTGGTGGTGGTGGTGGTGGTGTTGTTGTTGTTGTTGTTGTTGTTGTTGTTGTTGTTGGAGAGGGTGTTAGCAGATGGTTTGCTGTGGGCAGGGTCACCACCCCTTTCAAGAAGCAATGCAAGCTGCCTTTCGCGGCTGAATCTGAGTCGTGCGCGGGCACCCTGCGATCACTGGGCACCAGTGTTCGACGGGGACGGCGGGCGTGCTGGCATATCGACGGCTGTGCGCAGGCCCACCAGGCATCAGGATGGCCATTCCGCCGCGATTCGACATCTGTGCTCGTCAAGCATGGTGGGGCCGACACGTTTCCCGAGGTGCACGAGCGCGCCTGGCACGCTGTGCGGGTGCCCCGAGCGTGGTGCCCCCCTGCGCGCCTGGAGCACGCGACGCACCTTGGCGCACGCGGAGCACGTCGCGCATCTGGCGCACCAAGGCGTGCCTGGCACGCTTTGGGGCCATGGGGGCGCTTGGCGCGCCTGGTGCGCGTGGCGCGCCTCGCCCACGCGTCGTGCACCTGGGGCCTGTCTTGGTCCCAATAGTCCGGAGGGAGAAAAACACAGACACAATTAATCGTCGACTCCCAGGAAAATATGGGAAACCATGGGAAGTGGGGGGGAAGATAAAGGCCCAGAGCATATGGGAAAATATGGGGATCCCTGTCGTTTGTGTATTTATTTGTGTGTTCCAGGGCCCCTTCAAATAGCTGCCCGTCGACAGACGACCGCTGAATTTGCTGCGACTCGGGTGCTACTTCTGCGTTGGAAGGGGCGGGTGGGAGTTAGTCAACCAGCTTGCCTCTGGGAGAGGTGTCGTCGCCTCTGCCCCTGCCTTCGTCTTGGACTGGAAGAAGGAACGCTCTGAGCCACCTACGCCCAGAAGGGCTGCTGGGATTATGCCCTGCGCCTTCGAGTGATGGAGCACAGTGAGGTCCGAGGGGGCGAAACCTTGCAGCAACGTGGGGGATCCCGGCCAGAGCCCTAGGCCCGACTTGCCTGCGGCAGCCTTCGAGCCGGGTCGACTCGCGAGGGCCCCTTGGAGCCCGAAGCTGGACGAACGCCTCCAGAACATGAGCATGATTGCTGTGGCCAGACCTCAGGGGATGCCTGGGCTGTTCTGGGGGAGCAAGAAGTGGCATAAACATAAGAACTCGGAGGTCCGCGCGGATTTCTCGGATCGGCGCTGGGGCCCCCCGGCGGCGCCTCCGGCGCCACCCCTGGCGCGCTCCGCGCGCCAGGGAGGGGGGTCCAGCGCCGATCCGAGAAATCCGCGCGGACCTCCGAGTTGTTATCTTTATGCCACTTTTTGTTCCCTTATGTTCGCTCCCGGGGGCTTCGCATGGGGTGCGTTCCGCCCCGACCGTCCGAGACTGCACCCGCTAAGGGCGACTCGTGCCCCCCGGCAGCGGCAGAGACGGGGCCGCCCTGCCCAGAGCCGGATGTGGTTCGTTTCCTCTACCCGGCTCCTCCTCCTCCTCCTCTTCCTCTTCCCTTCTTCTTCCTCCTCCTCCCTCCTCCCACCTCCTCCCTCCTCCCTCCCCCCCTCCCCTCCTCCCTCCTCCCTCCTCCTCGTCCTCCTCCTCCTCCTCCTCCTCCTCCCCTCCTCCCACCTCCTCCCTCCTCCCCTCCCCTCTCCCCCTCCCCCTCCTCCCTCCTCCTCGTCCTCCTCCTCCTTCTCCTCCCTCCTCCTCCTCCTCCTCCTCCTCCTCCTCCCTCATCCCTCCTCCTCGTCCTCCTCCTCCTCCTCCCTCCTCCCTCATCCCTCATCCCCTCCTCCCTCCTCCTCCTCCCTCCTCCTCCTCCTCCTCCTCCTCCTCCTCCTCTCCTCCTCCTCCTCCTCCCTCCCTCCTCCTCCCTCCTCCCTCCTCCCTCCTCCCTCCTCCTTCCAGCGAGGTAGGCTGCCGGGAGTCCTGCCCGTGGCGACGGGCAGCCACCCAGTGTGTCAACCGCGCAGGACGACCCAGGCCTCCGTTGTCGCGGGCTCTTGCTCGCAGCTTCCCCTCCCCGGGGGGCTCGACCCGTTCCCTGTGCAGTGGACACCTTGTCTCCAGTGTGCCCTGGGTTTCTTTGGTTTCAATGGCTCCCACGCCAGAGGTCACTGGACGCCCTGGGGTCTCAGGGTTGGGTTTCTTGTGGAGGGTTTCTTGTGGTCGAGCTCCTTCTGTAAGGCCTGCTTCTCATCCCGAGTCTCCGCCGCAAGCAAATATACACAGGCACCCTCTAATGGATTTCCCCAGGGCGTTCGGGGGTGGCGGTGCATAAATCACCGCTGAGATCCAGCGACGTCGTACACCGCCGCCCTCCCTGAAGGTACACGCAAAGTTCGTGGGAAGGCGTCTGCGTATGTATTTTCGTGGCGTGGGGCTGCCCTCTGACAGCTCAATGCCCCCGCGAGGGGCCCCACAGGCCGAAAATGGCCAGAGGCTCCCGTCGTGCTTTTGCGAGGAGGCGACGGCATGTTGCCCGCCGCCCCATCTGAGGATGGCCATGCTTCTCTCCGATCGCCCCGGGCGCTGCCCCCCCCCCCCCCTCGGCAGCTTGCAGTGTCCCGCGCACCTTGCGAGCACCCCAGCTCTCAGTGCCCGAGGCCGCTTGCTTGCGCGCTGCTCGTGGCGTAGACCCCACACGCCCGAGGCCAACGGAGGAAGAAGCACCCGGACCCGACCCCCAGACAGCCCTGCCCCGTTCGATTCCTTCTCCGGCCGCGCTTGCTGATGATTCTCAGGGTGGACTCTCTGCTCTCTGTGCGGCCCCCCACCGCTTGACCGCCTCTGCGGCCGCCACCTCCTCGTCCAGCTGTCTTTGTGTGCACATCGTCGGGCGCGGCCCGCTGGCTACTCGAACGCGCCAGCGTCCGCTCTCGCTGCGGAAAACAGAAAAAGAACCAAAAACCTCTCTCGAGGAGGCCTTCGGGAGCCTCGCAGTGGCACTGGCCGAGCCGATTGCTCCCTCGAACGCCGCTCGGCCGCGGCGGTCGCGGCATGGCGCCCGCGGACGGGCCGGCGCTGGATTGGCTCCTCACGGCGGGGACGCAGGCGGAGGCCGCTATTGGGGACAGGCTGCTTCCGGCGCTGTCTGCGGAGGACCCGCGGGTGGTTAAGGACCCAAGACCCTTTCGACTCATGACAGGAAACCACGACGGACGCTTTTTCTCAATTCTCAGCCTCTGGGAGCCCTTACCGGGTCTCGGGACTGTCAAAGAACGGCTCAGGATGAAAAACCGGTCCTGGGGAATGGGTCGATACTTTGGAGGTCGATTTCATGAAGAAAGTATGACGTCCTGGGTTTGGGGACGGGGGGATGCGCGCTCCACCTGGTGAGGCTTCGGGAGGTGGCGCACAGACAGCCCCCCCCCCTCCCCAAGGTGGTAGTCTTGGCTGGCCTCGGCAGGCCCCTCGAATAGTCACTGGCCTCAACAGGCCCCCCGCGTAAGTCCAGGGAGCACCCCTGGCACCCCTGGGGCGCTCCGCGCCCCAGGGCCCTGGGTGTCAAGACTGCCCTGGGCCCTGGGCTGTTCGGGGGGACTGTTGAGGCCAGCTGTGCGTACGCGGGGGGGGGGCCTGTGGAGGCCAGCCGCCCGGGACTAGGAGGAGGAGGAGGAGGAGGAGGAGGAGGAGGAGGAGGAGGAGGAGGAGGAGGAGGAGGAGGCCTCACCGTTCACGGCGGGGTGCCACCTCCGGTGGTCTGCGGCTCCCAGGTGGGGTCCGAGCAGATGGGGTCGGGGGATCGCGCCGAATCGCCGATGCATCGGCAAGGCGGCTCGATGCATCGGCGCTGCGGCGCTGCGAGCAGGCAATAACACGACGGCAGCGACGGATGTCTGGAATGTGTGTGTGTGTATGTGTGTATGTGCCGGGGTAGTGAAGTCTCCCAGATCCCATGCCCATTCTTGTTTTTTTCCACAACACGCGGGTCCAACGGATCTTGCTGCATGCAACTGGTTTCGGTCCCGCCGCTGAAAGCCTTCCTCGATGCATTGGGCCCTGGAGCGCCGGGAGGTGCCGCGGAGATCATCTGCGTGAGCTGAGTTGCTAACCCCCACCCCTTTTCGGCGGCGCGCCAACTGGGGAAGGCAGCGGGGCCCGGCCTTGTCAGAAGGCTCACAGGGCCCACGACCTTCTAAGAGAGCCGCCGCCGTCGGAGAGCGCCCGCCCCCCTCTAACACCTCCCCTCTCGGCGCGCCGCCGTGCTTGACACTCTCTCCCACCCCCCCTGACCTGAAGCACGTCCCCCGCCCCCCCCCCCTCGGCCACAATGCACTGAGCCCTTCTCTTCCCCTCCCACCCTCTTCGGCACACCCTGCAGGACGCGGCGGCCGTGCGGCGCATCTCCCCTGACCTTCCATGGAGGGCTACCCCAGCGGCACCACGGCAGTTCTGAGTTTTTTAGCGTCTTCAGCCGATGTTCATCTCCGTTGACATGAGTTATTGTAAGTCCTGGCGCACTTCCCCAGTTTCGGCTCTTTGGGGTCGTCATCGGGCCCCAGGGACATCCAATTCGGAACTGGCACGAAACATTGTCTCTGGGGAAGGGGTCGGGAGCTCCAGCTGGGCCGCGCATTGAAAAACAGCACATCCTCAGGCGCCAGGGTTCTGCAGCAGTCCAGGCAGGTCTGTGAGTCTGGAGCCTTTTTGCTGCACCCTGGAAGGTCAGGGGTCTCGGAGGACGCCAACCGTCGGCCTCGCCGATCCCCGCCGGGCCGACCCCGGTCCGTCGCTCGAGGTTCTCGGGCGCTCTCGGCGGGCCTCGGAGGCGTGCCAGCCTCGGGGTGGCGTACTCGGCTCTGTGCCGCAGGGCGCCCAAGCCAGCGCCTGGCTGAGTTCCTGCTGGTTTGGGATGTCCCCTGGACTTGTGTGTTAACATTGGCTGCTGGCGGCCACCGCCAGCCCGTCGGCGAAAGTGCTTCCTGGGACCGCGTCTGGGCCGCTGCCCAGATTGTTGATATCCAGTTTTGGCCCGAAGTGCTGCCCGAAAGGGTGCCCGACGTCTTTGTCCTAGATTTTGGCCGTCCACATGCAGCTGGCCGGCATGCGAGCCGTCGACAATGCGGGCAAGGCTTTCGGGCATCCTTTCGGGCAGAAGGCGGGCACGAATGCGGGCAGGATCCGGGGCAGCCAACCAGGCATGGCATGACATGCGTGTTCTCTCTGGCAAGCGAGGTGTTTCGAACAGCAGTTCGGCAGCGTTCGGTAGGTGATTCGGGCAGCACCAGGCGGGGGTTCGGGGCAAGGTTCGGGCTAGGCTCTCGCACCCGAGGCCAAAAGAGGTGTGAGTGGTGCTATCTTGCAGCTGCGCCTCGCCGAGGGCGTTTCGCGAGTGCCTGGATCGTCCCGAACGGCCGCCAGAGACCCGGGTTATGACTCGAAAGCCGGACCTTCGCGTCGTCGGTTCAGAGAAGGGAAGACTGCCGATACCTTTGTCCATCACTCGTCGCCGCTGCTGGGTCGCCTCGAAGTGCTAGTCAGAATGCGCCCCAGGAGAGGCCTCGGGAGGTATCGGTATCATTGTGCTCCCCGACAGCTTGCACGTATGGGCCCCTGGCCGGTGCATGTGCTTTCCTCGGCAAGGCAGGAGGGCGTATGCATTGGTCCTGGGCCCTTGGTGGTCCCTGCCAGGATCAGTCCGGGGACGCCGAGACAGGGCTCAGCGCTTACGGGGGTGAGCACAGCCCCCCTCCGACCCGCTCTGGCTGACCCAGGCTTGGGAGCCACCCCTGATGACGCCCTCCGCTGAGTTCGAGGCGGGGCTGGGTTCGCGGCATGGCCCCGGGCTGCCCGGGGCTTGCGCGCACCCGAGCCAGCGGGTCCCCGCTCGGTGAGTTGGCCAGACCACCCCAACCCAACCCGAAGGCACCCGTTTGACCTCCATTCCCAGTGGGGGGGGGGTCGTCGGAGAACACTTACAAGAACACACGAGTGCAACCCTCCCCCCCAAGCCGGAATTGGGGTCTTCGGGCTCGGTTGGGGTGGTCTGGTGGGTGGCCCGTTTGAGGGTTGACGTCCCCCGAGCATCCGCGAGCTGGTGCGGATACCCTCGCTGTCTGGCAGCGGCGTGAGCTCGGGCTCCTACCGCCGCACGGCAGACTGGCTCCTGGCGCGCTGCGGGGAGCTGGGCCTCCGCGCCCGGGAGGTGTCGCCCGTGGAGGGGAAGCCCGTCGTCGTCGCCACGCTGGAGGGCTCCGAGCCCGGGCTGCCCTGCATAGTCCTCAACGGCCACTACGACGTGGTGCCGGTCATGCTCGAGAAGTGGTGCTGCGACCCCTTCGCCGCACAGGTGTGTGCCAGGAGGAGGAGAAGGGGACCACCGAGGGAGGCGGGTGTCCTGGAGGTGGTTGGTGGCCGTGCTCTCGCGATCTCCGCGTCCCCCCCACCCCCCCGGGATCCGGGGCCCGTCCAGGGAGGAGTTGCGGGCAGAATTTGTATATCCATACCCTTTGCGTCTTGGGTTCTCTGGGAAGGGACGCCAAGAGGCCGAGTCGCAGTGGATGCGGAGCAAAAGTTAGCCTCTGGGAGCCAGATGCTTATCCAGAGCCACTGCGCCTCTGGCTTCTGGGGAAGGGAACCCGAACCTCCAGGACGCAGTGGACCTGGATCCAGATCTTGCGCCCACAGGATTCGGGGTGCAGGGCTTGGGGGCCCCCGGGGATCCAGGGCCGGTCTCTGTCTCCCGTGCGAGCAGGTGCGGGACGGCTACGTCTTGGCGGCGGGCAGCCCAGACGGGGACTATGCGGGCAGAGGTGGGCCGTGCATCTACGGGCGCGGCATCCAGGACTCGAGCAGGGGATCGACTGCAGAATCGGTGTACTCCAAAATTGATTACCAGTGGAATCGAAGAAGCATGCCCACAATGCTCCGTAGATCGCCCGACCATTGTACGTAGTTTGCTCTTGGGTTTGACGAGGCAATGATCCTGGGAGGGCATCAATTCTGTAGGCAACTCCCTACTCGAAGGACATGAAGTGCGTCTGCGTGCAGTACCTCGAGGCTATCGCGAGGCTGCAGCGGAAGCACGGCGGCGAGTGGCGCCCGCGCCGCACGTGCCACCTGACCTTCGTCCCCGACGAGGAGATCGGCGGCAACGACGGCATGGCCGCCTTCTTGGAGACAGCAGAGTTCAAGGCCTTGCAGCCAATCTCGGCAGCGAGCGAGGGTGGAAGTGAGAAGCAGAATGCCTTCTCAGAAGTTTTATTGGCCTTCCCCGGCCTGCTGAGCAGTTTTATTGGCCTTCCCCGAAGACAGAACAAAGCTCTTGGAAGGCGCGGGAGCTTCTGAGAAGTCCCGCTGCCTTCTGGGAAGGCTTTCTCCTCCTCACCCCCCACCTTGCTCGCCGCCGACAGTCGCGATGGCTCTGGATGAAGGGCTCGCCAACCCCCGCAACGCGTACACCGTCTTCTATGGCGAGCGGACTCCGTGGTGGCTCATTGTGCGGGCGCAGGGGCCGACGGGGCACGGCAGTCGATTTATAAAGAACACGGCATTCGAGAAGATGCTGGGTGTCTTGAACAAGGCGCAGGAATTTCGCAGAGAACAGGAGGAGATGTTGGGTTGGGATCAGATGGGTTGCAAGCACTGTCAAGCCAAGAAGCTTGGAGACGTCACCACTTTGAACGTGACCATGCTGAAGGGTGGAGTCACCATGGATTCGGGCCAGACTTATTCGTTGAACGTGATCCCTACAGAGATGGAGGCTGGCTTCGACGTGCGGCTGTCACCCAACCTTGTCACGTCATCCTTCAAGGCTAAGCTCGATGAGTGGTGCAACGAGGAGGGCCTGACGTGGGAGTTCGCTCAGTGGACGAAACCGCTTCACGAACATTACCTCACGCCTGTAGAGCGGAATGTGAACCCCTTCTGGGGCATCTTTGAGGACGCTGTCGGCGCGGACGGCGCCAAGGTGGAGCGCGAGATCTTCCCCGCGGGCACGGACTCACGGTTCCTGCGGGCGATGGGCGTCAAGGCCTTGGGCTTCAGCCCCATGCGCAGCACCCCGGTGCTGCTTCACGAGCACAACGAGGCTTTGAGCGTCGACATGTTCTTGGAGGGCATCGGTGTGTACTGCCGCGTCATCGAGGCCCTCCTTGATACGCCGCGTCAGGAGATCGAGCAGGAAGGCGGCGCAGGGCAGCCTCCGGCGAAGAGGGCGCGGCCAACCTCGTGAGGACATCGTGCGGTCTTCTGCAGATCTGTCCGCGTTGCTTGCCCCTTTTCCGCGTAGTACGTCATCTAGGTGCCGATGCAGTTGCGAGCCCGGGCAGAGCATCGCAGCATCGCCTGGCCTGCCGTCTGCTCGAGCTACGAGGACCAGTTGCGGCGGATGCAATCGAACAGGAATGCCGGTGTGCGCCAGTGTGACGTTGAACGCTTGTGTACCTAAGCAGTGCGTGATACATAGTTTTCACCTCGCCAAGAGAGAGAGAGAGAGCACGTCCAAGGACACAGCGCGACATGACACAGCGCGGCACTGCACACGGCACACAGCACGGCACCGCCCGACCGAATCACGAGTTGCATTACCGCACGTACGTTCACGTTTGGGCCGCCACAGGTTGCACCATAGGTTGCGCAATAAGTTACGCCATTGGCAGAGCCGTAGAATTCACCGTAGGTTGTGCCACAGGTCGCGCCGTAGGTTGGGCAATGGTTTGCGCCATAGGTTGCGCCGCTGCGCCAAAGGTTGCACATGGCATGCCCTAATTGCCCTGACACTGCTGGCCCTGCTCCGTCGAGCGTGCGCCCTGGGTTGCATGCGGCACGCCCTGCTGAATAATGGCTTGCTCTGTTCTGTCCAGGATGTGCCACGGGATTGCGCACTGCGCGGCCCCACGACTCGTGATTTGTCGCTCTGCCTTGGTCCCACCATGAGTCGCCCACGGAATGTGCCCTCTGGCATATTGGTTTGCCCCCGCCTTCTTTGTCTAGATGGTGCCACACACAGGTTGCACCATGGGTTGTACGGCGTTTCGTATGGCATGCCCTCCCGACCGGGTCTTGAAACAGTTCCAATAATCGTTGCATCATTCGCTGTAGAGGCAGACTGAACGCATACTTGTGCACCCCAATGCACATGCTCCCATGGTAGACTCTTGCTGGCTACCAGGGCCATCGAGCAGATGTGCCAATGTTGCATATATCAAGCATGCAGCCAGCGCACAGAATGAACTTATTGCCGTGCCGCGTTTACACGCCAGCACATCCAGAAAGGATGACCAGGCAATTGTCGCGAGAACAAAACGGGGCCACATAGGCCGACAATAGTGCATTTCAAGACTTCCAGGGCTTCTTGGTGGGTTCTTGGAACTCTCTTGTTGAGTTTGCGTGATATATATATATATACATAAAGCATGGGTTGTCTTGTTCGCCTCGCACCTATTGCTGTGTTGGTTCAGGTATTACCTGTACTGGCGTGAGGACTATTGCTTCTGGAGGAACACCTCATCGTCATGAATTATAGTCTCTATCGTGTTGATCTTGGGCGGGCTGGGTTCCTTGACCACGGCCCAGGAATACATACTTGCATCATCGGCGAGAGATCTCGTGATAGTATGGAGTCCACCTTTCGCCCCGAAGCCCCGCTAATAGGGGCTTGGAGCTCATCTGCAAGGTTGACCTCCCATGACGCGAGGGTTGTGCATCAGTGGCCGCAGCCGCTGCCTGGTCTCATCATGTCCTGGTGGCGTTTTATCGGCTTACATTTAAGTCGGGCGTGCCCCTCTGCAGGAGGAATATTCACACATAGGTAGAGAATAGTATTGGGATTACTTTTGTATTATTGTTGCTTATGTGTTTGTTTTATATTTCTCCCAAAATCCCCCGCCTGTAGGGGGGACGTGCCCGACCTGAGCTTACATAGCAGGCGCCCGTCTTACGCCCACGCGGGCTCAGGATGGAGGCGTGCCAGCACGGCGTGCCCCTCGGCAGCGTGGATGCCACGTGGCAGGCAGCGCAGAATAGTTGCCTTGCCTGTGGCTCGCGCCCAGGCGGGTGCACCGAAATTGCACAGACCGAATGAGAGATGCACACCAAATCGCTGAGTATACACGCTGGTCGTCGAAAGTAGGTATCTCTGGATTCCCAGATCCCAACCTACTTCAAGCGCCTTTCTACTTCAAGAGTCGGTATGTGTTGCTGTTCGTTGCGGTTCTCTGGGAGGGCTTGAACCCAATCTATTTGATCCGCCTTCCTACTTCATGTTTTTACCGACTTCTCCCGACCGACGTGCAATGCACAGGGTTCCCCTCCTGCTCGAGCGGCTCGTTGCGCTCGGCAGCCCGGTCGCGTCAGGCATCCACTGCCGCCGAGGCCAGTTCGCCTCGCACGCGCTGCGCACATTGCGCTTCTGTGCTTGGCCGTGCCTGCACAGACTGATGTCTCGGGGCGTTGTGTCCCAGAGACGGGTTGGCCAGTTCTTGTGCCACGGCAGCCCCGATGTCGAGATGTTTGCTTGCCCCATGTCCCTCTCCTCGTCTCCTTCCTCCTCTTGCCCTCCGTAGTAGAACTCCAGACTGCTCCCCTCCGAGAAAGTGAAAAACAAGAAAGGCAAACAAAAAGCTAGCCAGAGCCTCCACCCTTATCAACCTCCTCTCCCCCCCACTCCCGACGGCGACAGCGACGACGACCCAGGGTGCTTCGTGGCCTGGACCTGCTTCGCGAAGCAGACACCCAACATCACGAAGTCGGAGCTGAATTTTGGCTGGGGCCCGGGGTGGACGGAGGAAGGCGGAAGCAGGAGAAGGCGCTGGGGAATGATGAAGAAGGAGAAGGGGAGACAATGCGGCTTGCGGAGGGCAATTTGGGACCCCAGTTGACTCTTGCGCAATTGCTGCTGATGTACGTCGCTTCGGCTGTTGACTTCAATCAGACACTACGGCAAGTGATCAACGTTGGAGGGCATTTGCCTTTCTACACTCATGGCTTCGTTTGCTGCAAAAGCCACTGCGCTTGATGAGACATCTTGACATATTCAGGGTTTCCTATGTCATGTTTCATATCCGCAGACGCAGTATGACAAAGTGTTGCCAGACTTTGCATCGGTGTTTACTGTGCGTGGCCAGACCACTGCTATAAGCTGTGGAAATGATGGCCCAGCGCTGCGAGCTCTGGGGTGCGAAAGAAGAAATAAGTGGAGGGTGATGGGGTCGGGCGGGAGGCTCAGGATGGAGGTGGATGACAATGAGAAAGGAGGCCAAGATGGAGGTCAGGATGTTGAGCAAGGAGAAGATACACTGATCAAGGGTCTCAGGAGCAAGGGATGGAGGCAGAGTAGCATTATGAAGACGAGAATGATGAATGGGGATAATGAGGATGATGAGGACCCGAGCAAACACAGGATGCATGAAGGGATGCAACAACACACCCTCCCGTCCCAAGCCCCCCCCCAAGAAGTCCAACAAGCCCTCCGTCACATTCCCCAAGCAGTTCTTGCACGTAGAGGTTCTTATGATACTAAGGAACTGGACCTGCCCGTCGGTATGGCGGCTATGTGGTCGCCGTCGCCCCCGTCGCCGCCTCGTCGCCGCCCGTCGTCTGGACCCGCCCGCCGTTCTGGCGGCTATGTGCCCGCCCTCGCGCCCCGTCGCTCTGGGCCTGCCCGTCAGTCTGTCGGCTATATGGTCGCCGTCACGCCCCGTCGCCGCCGTCTGGGCCTGCGGTTCTTTGCATTGGTTTGCGTTACTTTGCTTTGCACCACATTGATTTGATTTGCGTCCACAGCGTTGCTTTGCAATGCGTTTACAGTGACGTGCATTATTTTCCATTCTTTACATTGATTTGCGTTGCATTGTGTTGCGTCACTTGGCAGTGTGTTGGACTGGTGCTTGCTGCTTGTCATTGTTTTGCATGGCTGGGCATTGATTTACATAGCATAGCACAGAAGGGAGGGGAGATGGAGGAGGAGGAGGGGAGTGATGAGGGTTGCGGGTTTCTCTTTGTGGCCTTACATACCGCAGTGCTTGTGTACACCACAGCATGTCAAAAATGGCTTGTACTTAGGGGTGCTGATCTTTTTCCCCAAACCTTGTTTGCGTTTAGGGGTCCCTACCTCTCTTCTAAGGAACTGAGCAAACTAATGGGGAGTAGCGCTGCGTGCTACAGATGTATTGCGGTCTCCATTGTTCTGCCACCGTCCACTGGTTGTACACGACAGACCCTGCCGTGCAACGTGTAAAAATTGCAGTAATGACACGCGCGCCGCGTGTCGCACGACCCATCTAGATCTAGACTTCGTGCTCCTCCGCTTCATTGAGGGATCGGCGAACAGACGAAGGGAAACACACATAGTTCCCGATCAGCCCGCGACCGGATCGCTGCGCTCGCCGTTCTGGGGCACGCTGGTCAGTATTTGGGAGCAGTTGGGCGGTCTCCAGGGGGGACCTTGGCGTCAAGCAGGTGTCAAGGGCCATTGGGTCGGCTGTGGGCATTCATCGGCAAACACTTGATGATCGTGGTGATGCAATGATGCTGGTGATGATGATGGGCAACATGACGATGGCAATGATGACCCAACATCTACGAATATTGCAACACTAACGTATTAGAACATGTTTACCCGTCTAGCGCACGGCGGGGCGCAAAAATCTTAGCCGCGTGTTTTCTCGCTTGGCATCGAGCTTAAGATTCGGGGCTTCGCGTGTGCGTCGGGGGAGTTGTGGGAGGGCCCAGGGAGTGTCAGGCGTCTCATTCTAATCTCGCCCGCGACATCAACACAAACAACATCAATAAGAACAACAAGTCTTTTGCATTGCAAACTTGTTTTCACTTGTGTTTGCTTTCTTGCACTGTGCATCTTTGTTCGAGCTAGAGCTGTTCGGGTCATTAGCGCCACCTTGAGCTTAGGATTATGGGCTTCGCGTGTTTGGGGGCTTCAGGGGGACGCGGTGTCAGAAACCATCGACGACCATGCTCAGAAAGACGCTCCACCTACTCACACGTTTGGTTATGGTGATAATCCGGTAGCTTTTCGACGCGGGCATCACAGACCGAGGATTTTTCATCCTTTGAGTTACGGGGCTCGGAGAGTGTCTGTTCTCACCACCGTCCCTCTTTCCGAACATCAGCCACGTGCCCTTCTACCCCCGAAAGGCATAACGCACTACTGTTCTGTGAGCAGGCCTTTCGGCGCGCATCAACACCGTGCTGGCTCAGCCTATCTTTGACCATATCCCTCATCATTTGGCGGCATCGCTGCCGCTTTGATTTCAATTGAACTGTCCCAGCCCTTTCTTCACAGAACAAGATCACGTTGGCTGATTACTGTTTTGTTGCAGGCCGTACGGCCACAATGCAGTATGGCTGTTGTTAGTTAACTGTTGTTGTGCCGCTGAACGTTCTGCCGCAGCGCAATGATTACTTGGTTTTCGAGTATGTTTGTTGGACGATGCCGCTCGGTCGCAACACAGGGCTGCTTCGGTATAGCATCTCTTTGTCG